AAAGACTTTTGACATTGCCCAACCCCCTTAGCCAAAGACCACCCCAAAACCATCATAAATACATCATAGGAGGTGGTCTCCTGATAATGGTCGCTGATTACATTACTTAGGCAGCCTTGCCATTCTTTTGTGATGGTTGTTCCTGAACCCAGATCACAGGCTCACCCTATTCTTGCACAAATACGCCCTTAAGAGAGGATTTATAAACAGAAAGACATGGGAAGGCTTTCCCCATTTGCCTCCCTTACCACAGAGGAATACAGTGGTACCTTGGGTTACATATGCTTCAAGTTACACACGCTTCAGGTTACAGACTCTGCTAACCCAGAAATAGTGCTTCAGGTTAAGAACTTTGCTTCAGGATGAGAACAGAAATCATGCTCCGGCAGCAGCAGGAGGCCCCATTAGCTAAAGTGGTGCTTCAGGTTAAGAACAGTTTCAGGTTAAGTACGGACTTCTGGAACGATTTAAGTACTTAACCCGAGGTACCACTGTATTTGAGGCCATCAGGAGAGTCAAAATGACTTCAGGATTGCTCTTCTGTACTATTTCAGACACATGCCTTATATATTTACATATGTGTGCATTTACGAATATTTATTCTATATCTGAGACCTTAAAATTCTTATAACACTACGTTAAAGGCAATGAAATGTCTGTGTGCGCATGTGTGCATGCAATACATTCTCCGGAGTGTGAGAGGTCATTTGGGGGCCTGTCTGGAATGTTTTGTGTGCTCAGCAGAAGACTATTGTTGTATGTGTGAGAGAGAGGCGGGGTGGGGTGGGGGGCAAGATATTGAACAGAGCAGAGCAGAATTCTTAGGAATGCAGGGGAAGGGGGAGGACATTGGGCAGATGGACAGGACTTTATTACAAAAAGTTTCTTGATTGCAATTGTTTTATCTCATTGCTGTACTCTTGACTTTCGAAGGTCTTTCGGAGTTGCAAAAGCAGCAGCAGCAAACCTTTCCAAACTTCCTTGTGGCTTGGCTCTATATGACCCTTTCATCAGAGTGCTCTCCCAGTTCTTTTCACTTTACGGACTGGTGATGTCTGTAGCTGTATTGGGAGGGTGGAGTGTGAATTGCGTCCACGTAACATTTTCAAGATTCTTTCCCACCTCCGTTCCGCAGGGATTAAACTGGGAACACCTTGGAACCGGATGCTCGGGTTCTGAGTATCCTGCACTGCATCGGTATAAAATGGCAAGTCCCAAAAATGGCAGGATATCTTGACGATATGACTGATACTGTGCTAAGTGGTTCCCTGGTCATGTCTCACCCCTCTGCTAAATTGGTGAGACCCTCATGCAGCCTTTAAAAGGGACGTCTGTAACTTGCATACAAGACGGATGCTCATGTTTGTGTCAAATTAATGTATTAATTTAAACCATTTCAACCTCGCTCTCCAGTTTGAAAAGGCTCCAGGCTCAATTAAAAATAAGACAATTCCTGCTCTCAGGCTTACAATATAAAGAACATAATACAAAGGCAGCTGGCCTTTCACCAGAGCTGCTTCCCTTCTCTTGCTCTCTTTTTCTCTCCTACAACCTAGTTCTACAATCTTGGCTCCCAAAATTGTCCCTGGTCTTGCAAACAGCCACCTGCCGATTGCCTGTGGTGAATAAGGATATCCTCTATGCAGGGGAACACTGGAATACCAGTGTTTTTAGACCATTGATGTGCTACAAATGACTAATTTCTTTAGGTGTGAGCAGGTGGGCTAGTAACTCGTGGGTCAATAACGGCAGCCTTGCTGGAGACATTTGGAGCTCTGTTGCATTTGCAAAGATGTACTGCTCTCCTCTTTGCAAATGCAACAGAGCTCCAAATGTCTCCAGCAAGGCTCCTCGAGGGACGCGGGTGGCGCTGTGGGTAAAACCTCAGTGCCTAGGACTTGCTGATCGTAAGGTCAGCGGTTCGAATCCCCGCGGCGGGGTGAGCTCCCGTCGTTCGGTCCCAGCTCCTGCCCACCTAGCAGTTCAAAAGCACCCCTAAGTGCAAGTAGATAAATATGTACCGCTTTATAGCGGGAAGGTAAACGGCGTTTCCGTGTGCAGCGCTGGTGCTGGCTCGCCAGATGCAGCTTCGTCACGCTGGCCACGTGACCCGGAAGTGTCTTTGGACAGCGCTGGCTCCCGGCCTCTAGAGTGAGATGAGCGCACAACCCTAGAGTCTGTCAAGACTGGCCCGTATGGGCAGGGGTACCTTTACCTTTACCTTTACTGCTCTCCTCGGACTGCGCATAAGAATGTGAGAATGTAAGAAAAGCTTGCTGAATCAGAGCAGTGGCCCATTTAGTCTGACATCCTGTTGTCAGTGTGGCCAACCAGTGGCCTATGGGGAAACCAGCAAGGAGGATTCTTGCAAAACACCAACGTTCTGATAGCCATCAGGGAAACAGCAGTAGCAGACAGCCTTCGCTACCTCCAAACTGAGAGGGGAAATGTAAACTCAGGTCACCAGGACAATGGGGCAAAGTGAGATGTGCCTTCGAGGCAGGAGGAGCGAGTGACTCAGCCATTCCTAAAACGAAAAGATACTGACAACCAAAGTGAATGTCAAAGGGCACATTCGTAAAAAGAGAGCTGAAAAGCCTGTGGTTAGGGAGATGCAATGGTTAGAAAAGGGCAAGTTAGAGTTTTAATAGGATTAAAGTGTGAAGAAAGGAATTGGCGTGGGCAGCGGAATAAGCCAAAGGTGTTTGGATACAGATAATAGGAGCTGGGACATTATTTGTACCCCGCCCATCTGAATGGGTTGCCTCAGCCACTCTGGGTGCCTTCCAACAAATATAAAAGCATAATAAAATATCAAACATTGAAACCTCCTTTATACGGGGCCAGTGGTGGAGCAAGCCGTTTGGGTGCCTGGGGCGGCGCCCAGGGCCAGCCGCCCACGGGGGGTGGAACCAGCCGCCCGTGGGGTGGGGCGAACTGGGGCAGGATGCTGTGGGGGGGCCTCCGAGGAGTCTGACTGCTTCCTCCCACTCAGCTGCCCTAAAACTGAAGGGGAGGCGGCGGGTGGAACGTTTGGGGTAGCGTGGAGCCTGTGGGCACCCAAGCCACCGCGTCACTCCCAGGAGAGAGACATGGCTTGGGCACACTTCAGGCCCCGCGGTGAGTGCCGCCTGGCATTTTGTCACCCCCCTCAGTAGTGACGCCTGAGGCGTATCTCCCCCACCGCACCCCCTTCCTCCGGCCCTGTACAGGGCTGCCTTCAGATGTCTGCTAAAGGTTGTTTAGTTACTTATCTCCTTGACATCTGATGGGAGGGCGTTCCACAGGATGGGTGCCACTACCAAGAAGGCCCTCCGCCTGGTTCCCTGTAACTTTGCTTCTCGCAGTGAGGGAACTGCCAGAAGGCCCTTGGCACTGGATTTCAGTGTCCGGGCTGAACAATGGAATACTGGGTCGAGGCCGTATAGGGCTTTCAAGGTCAGCACCAACACTTTGAATTGTGCTCAGAAATGTACCGGGAGATACAGTAGCAGTAGCTAATGTGAGACAGAGTGAGAGCTGAGATAAGGATTTTTACTAGGTTTAATAGATTTTAAAAGCTGAACTTAAGAAACATTGTAGAGAGAGAAACCAACAAGCCTTAGCTGGAGCAGTAATATAAGCCAAGAAGGAAAGAAATGGTTAGCTTGCGGAAGAGTTTCCATATGAAGGAGAAGGCAAAAATAGACTGAAATATACTAGCTTTTGGGGGCAGGAATTGCTTGGAGGAATTTGCTTCAGCTGGGCATGAGCAGGAACCTCTTAATGCAGGAAGAGCCTCCTTGACCGGGCCATAGGCTTCTCATGGCTTGTGCTTCCTTTCTGCATCAGGCAAAGGACTACGAGAATGAGTCACGTCTTCAGTGGTCCTCAAACATTTTCCCCTACTTGAAAATGGCTGAGGATCTTTGCAGGCCACATAATAATTTTTCTGCCTGTTGTAGCAACTGTCATGTGTTGTGCTAGAATGGCTTTTTTTAATGGTGCTTTTACAGAAATGTCAAGGGCCACCTAAATGAAGTTTGCGGATCAGTGGTGGCCCATAGGCTGCAGTTCTGGAACCCCCCAGGGGCGGAGGAAGGGGTGTGTGGTTGATGTTGGCCGCCCCGGGTGTCACCACTGAGGGTGTGTGTGACAAAATGCCGGGCGGCACTAACCACGGGGCCTGCAGCGCACCCGAGCCACGCGTCTCTCCTGGGAGTGACGCAATGGCTTAAGCGCGCGCAGGCTCCACACTGCCCAAACGGTCCACCCGCTGCCTCCCCCCCCCAGCTGTAGGGCGGCTGAGTGGGAGGAGGCTGGCAGACTCCTCAGAGACTCCGCAGAGTTTCCTGCCCCTGGGCGCACTGCCGCAGGCGCACCGAGCGGCTTCCTCTGCCGCTGGAACCCCCGATACAGCTCATAAACCTTGTGCTGTGTGTACAAAAGGCACCAGCAGAAAATCCTGGAGATCTGTGATCAATGGGGGGGGGGGGTAAGATGGACTTTGATTAAGAAAACTCCTATTGCCCAGCTTCTGTTATGATAGACCCTTTTCAATTCACTGGGCATCACCTGGAAACGGTGGCGCTGCATCATGCGCTGGTGCTCAGGCTGCGCATGCGCATACACACGTGCAGCAGGCAGGACCAGGAGCTGGGCATGGAGGGTAAATGAAACCTGCCATGCCAGCCCAACCCTTGCCACCGATGCCTCTGGGTAGGTGTGGGGGCACAGAGGATTCATGGGGCTACACAGAGAGGAGCCTGGCTAGACGTGGCCCATGGCGGGTGCATCCCCCAACTGTGACATTCAGCAAGGGGGCCAGGGGCATGGCCGCAAGGCCCCTAGTGGCAGGTAGGATGGGGATCCCTGCCAAGGGGCGTCTGGCTTGCACCCCCTCAAAATCACGCCCCCAGGGCCTGCCTGGTCCTCCCCACACTACGCTTCTGCCTGGAAAGCTAGGTTGGTTTCATGCTTTTCAAGCATTCCACTCACAAGTCTTTCTCTTGAATTTCTAGGCTCCCTCTTGGTTGTCAGAATGGAAAGAGTCTGCTAATGCTGTGATGGCTTCTCCAAAATGGCCCCCGGTGGACGTGTTAACTACTGACGAAAATTAATCTCATTTGTGAAATGCCAACTTCTCCGGCGTGGGGCATGCGCAAGACTGGCACAGCATGATGGAAAGGACTATGCTGTGCTATGCGAACCAATGAAACTGAAGGTGGAGTGGTGTCCGTGGGATGGAATTTGCCAGCATGGAGACCCCACGCTCTCTGGGCCACATCTATCGAGAGTACCACAACAACAATGTGATTTCTTTGCACTACAACTACACAGGCAAGCTCCATGGCAGCAAATACAAGGGCAGTCTCAAGGCGGATGCCATTGTGTTCCTGGTGGTGTGCGCCTTCATTGTGGTGGAGAACCTCGTGGTCCTGCTGGCTATCTGGAGGAACAAGAAGTTTCACTTGCCCATGTACTACCTGATTGGGAACTTGACCCTGTCGGACCTGCTTGCTGGCGTGGCCTACACTGCCAATATCGTCATGTCCGGGCCCAACACCCTTAAGCTCACCCCTGTGCAGTGGTTTCTGCGGGAAGGCGGGGTCTTTGTCACGCTGGCTGCCTCTGTCCTCAGCCTCCTTGCAATTGCCATCGAGCGCCATGTCACGATGGTCCGCATGAGACTCTACCACGGGGACAAGAAAGGGCGGATGTTCCTGCTGGTGGGGGCCAGCTGGCTGGCCTCCATCTTGCTCGGGGTGCTGCCCATCCTGGGCTGGAACTGCATCGAAAACCTCCCCGAGTGTTCCACAGTGTTGCCCCTCTATTCTAAGCATTATGTCCTCTTCTGCATCACCGTTTCCTGGCCATCCTGGTCTCCATTGTGGTGCTCTATGCCCGCATCTACCGCATGGTCAAGTTCAACGGGCAGCGGCTGGGGCAGCCTCCGCAAAGGCATGCTCAAGAAGTCCCAGAAGTATATGGCCTTGCTGAAGACGGTGACCATCGTGGTGGGCACTTTCATCGCCTGCTGGCTACCCCTCTTCCTCCTCCTGTTGTTGGACGTTGCCTGCCAGGCCCAGGCCTGCAGTGTGCTCTACAAAGCAGACTATTTCCTGGGCCTGGCGATGATTAACTCCCTCCTGAATCCCATCATTTACACCCTGACCAGTAAGGACATGAGACGAGCCATTCTGAAGCTGCTCTGCTGCCTGCTGGTGGTCACTCCTGGCACAGAGGAGAGCCGCGCCAAGCGCTTTGGTCTCCCCATACTGGAGGGCAGCACCAGCAAATCGGAGCGCTCGTCGCACCAGCATGAGGGGCCTAATGTTAGCATGTCACTTGGGAACAGCACCCCAAAAGCCATCAAGGCAATGGTGCTGAAGGCCGTCTACTGAAGTCCTTTGGTTATCTTGCCCCAGCGGCCAGTAGTGCGGTATGAGCAGCCAGGGGTCAAGAAGGGGGCTCAGGGGTCAAGTCCCAGCAGAGTGGGACTAGGCCCTGAAGGGAAATGCTGTGGCAGATCTTGGGAGGAAACCTAGGCAGGGCTAGCAGGTAAACCAGGAGACTTGAGGAGCGGACAAGGAACCAGGTGTGTCCTAGTACTTGGCACCTGAGCCGAATCTGGTTCTTGCCCAGGCAAAGACTGATTTGGAAACCTGGTGGCTAGGCCAAGTAGCCTGAGTGGCTGGATCTTCTTGAGCACCTAGAATGATAATAAGTCCAGTTACTTCCACCCTGCCTAAAGGAGTTCATCACAAGATCAGGAGGCCCACCCTTCTAGTCCTTGTTGCTCCTGTGCAAAATCAAGGCCCCCAAACCCATAGAAACAACCCTTCCCTCCGCCAAGGTCTTGCTAGAACTAGAGAGTGCCCTGGAGAGATATGAAGAGATAGGCAAGAGCTCTTTTGGAGAACGTCAGTGGCTTCTTTTTGAAGGAAAACACCACCTTTGTGCTGTTTTCTCTCTCCAACCTGCCCGTTTCTGTGTCCCAGCCTCCACCCCAGGGGCTGGACCTCCTAATACCTTCATACTGACCCCTTAGACCTTCATGATGCTGATAAAAAGTGGTGGAAAGGCAGATCTAATTCATTATAGTGCTATTGAGAGCAGAGACTAACCTAGCCTGGAATCCAGCTCCCATGAAATGGCGGCCTACATGTATAAAGTTCAGTGTCTTTAGACAGACATACAAGTGCACTGTATATCCTTGTATGTGAGCTTATGTTGATGATGCTGTTAAATTATGTCTCTTTGGGCCAAAAACTGATTCCCCCCCCCCTTCAAAATAAAGTTGTTTCATAAAAAAAATTGTCCTGCTGGTTTGGGCCACGTTAAGTGGCTACGGAATGGTTGTAAGTTGCCCTGTTGTTGTCTTGGCTGTTCTATCTCCTACCCCAAAGAACTAAGGAAGAAATATCCCGTTCTTCTTCCACCTCCATTTGCTTAAGGGTCACACAGAATGCAGCAAAAAGGAAGGAAGGAAACCTCCAAGTCTGGTATCCTAACCTCGTATATAAAACTACAACCCACTATTAAAGAGAATAAACGTCAAAAAGCATTCGCTGGACTCTCTGAAATATGCAAAAAAGCAGCACTTCTCTTTTGCCTAAATCCTGAGTGATAGTAAGGTACTCTGCCTGGATGGGCAAGTTTTTTGTTTGTGACAAGAAATGACCCAGAAATGATTCTGTTACTGCTTGCAAAATGGCACTTGCCTCCAGGTTTTCTGGTGTTGCCTTGCTGGGGGCGGCGGGGAAGGTAAAGGACCACAGGTATGTCACCAGTCAAAGGTGACTATGGGGTTGTGGCACTCATTTCGCTTACAGGCCAAGGGAGCCGACATTTGTCCACAGACAGCTTTCCAGGTCATGTGGCCAGCATGACTAAACTGCTTCTGGCGCAACGGGACACACTGATGGAAGCCAGAGCACATTGAAACGCTGTTTACCTTCCCCGCTGCAGTGGTACCTATTTATCTACTTGCACTGGCGTGCTTTCAAACTGCTAGGTTGGCAGGAGCTAGGACTGAGCAACGGGAGCTCACCCCGTCGTGGGGATTCAAACTGCTGATCTTTTGATTGGCAAGCCCAAGAGACTCAGAGGTTTAGACCACAGCGCCACCTTTACCTTTAGTGGTCAGTGGGCTAGACTAGCAGCTGTTAGGAAAACATTCTTTAAGAAACAGATAAAAGTTCCTGGAAGCTTTAAAGAGGGTTCCAGAATTTTCTTTAGTGTGTAGGAGTGGCACTTTAGGCTTGATTGGTGTCCGCTGAAGGAGCAGAATAAAGCAAGTTGCAGCCTTCAATTTCCATACAATGAATTCCATCCTGATAACAAGGTGTGTGCTGCTGATACTGAATTTTGCTGTGTCAGGATTGTTAATTACTGGACTGAGATTATACCGTGCTGGAGAGATAAAGAGGGAAATGGCTGCCTCCCATGAGATTGGACCCCCAGTCATGTCAGAAATTCAGGACTGATATGAGAGTAATTAGTCCTGCCAACCTCTCCAATGTAGGAGAGGGCTGTCTCACCCGTGGAGTCCATTATCTGGGCCCCACAACAAGATATGGGGGCAGAGGACTTTGGGTGGCAAGCCTGGCACAGAAACTGGGCACCCTCCGGAGCCATTGGCTCGAGCAGGGACACCCGTTTCTTAAAAATTAGTAAGATTTGGCAAAAAAAAGGCGTATTCTGAACTGATGGAGATAAGGGAAAATATCTGCGGAATTGCACAGGCGCTGGTGTCTAAGTTTGGACTTTAAAGAGATCTCATCATCGTGCTTGGATTTACGGAGGTGATCGGTACGTCCTCTCTTTTATGTCTACATTTGCTTTTATATGCTGAGCCTCATTAAGAAAGACCTAATTTTTTTAAATGGAGTACAGATGTACTTCTATTTGCAATTGATTATTCAGCTGCGCAGTTTTAATTGGACTTGACAAAGAGAAAGGAGCGGAACAAAGATGGCGCTTGCTAGTTGTGAAAAAGGGAATTCCTTTTTCGTGGGAGTGGGAAACATCCTTCGGCTGATTCTACAAAGATCTGAGACAATAATTTGGGAAATACCCCACAACATACAGTGCATCTGCAGGTTTTATGGGCGAGAGGTGAAACGAGTGTCTAGCAGCTCCCCTCTAGGGCCCAGAGGGAGAGTGTGTGATCCCTGGAAAAGCTGATCAATCGCCAAATGATTTATATTTGTGGAATATACAGTACTCCATTTCAGTTGCTACATATATTTGCAAACAATATGCATAATAACTTAACAACTCTGGAATAATGCATCATAAAACTTCAAACGGCAGACTTGGACAACAGCCCAGACTGGAAGATAACAGTAAGCCACGAAAAGCTGCGCTAGCAAACAGACAAGGGAATACACACACACACACACACACACACACACACACACACACAACTAAGCTGTGCTTGTCAGACGAAAGGATACATGATTGAGAATTGATTAGCCAGGGACTGGGGACTTTGAGAGTCTAAGATCGGAATGTGGAAATTATGAGATCAGAGGCAGAAATATAATTATGTGAGATGATTCTTCAGAGGTCCAGAATATGGAAAGTCCGTTTGAAATTTAATAATTAATAATTTGGGTTGTAATTTGGTTTCCCCCCCTTGAATTATGATTTGATATTAATTGGATGCTCTTAATGAAAAAAAGGAGATAAAGAAGAAATATACAATAGCTTGCATATAACAGTAAATGCTTGTGCAACCAATTAAGCAATAAAGAAGTTCATATAGATATATATAATACAAATATATCTCACTTCTTCAGAGGGAATAACAAAAATGCGAACCCGGAAGATCTCTACCCAAACATTACTCTCTTTCCCTCCCTTTCAACCTCCGTGGATTACCAGACGGCGTTTTGCTACGAGTCGCGATTTGGGACAAGCAACCTGGCGGCTTTCCCCACCCGCCGCCCTCTCGAGGAATCGTTCGCGCGCTGCGTGACGTCACGCCGTCGCGCCCCCCAGTGACACGGCGCGGGTTGCTAGGTAACAGCCGGCGGGGCCTGTATGTGTATATGGGGGGGTAGGGAGTGGGGGAGGTTTTTTTTGGGGGGGGGCGCTCGTCTGCACGCGCAGTCCCGTGTCTGTGGGGAGGAGTCAGCCCGTTTTCTGCCTCCTAGAAGCAAGGCCTCGAGCCCGTGAGGAGGGGTGGGGGGATGCGCGCGCGCAGAGCCCTCTTCTTTCCCCTCCCTCTCTGTCGGCCTTCACCGGCCCGAGGGGCGCCTGAACCGGGTTGCGTGTTACGTGTTCGTGTGAATGCGGCCTCTGCCCCAGTGCCCCGCCCTGGCCCTGAGGCAAAATTTTCCGGAGCCACCCCGTCCCGTCGCCTGCAGAGAGCAGCCCTTCCCTGGCGGGAGGAGGGCCCGACGGCGGAGGCGGGGCCGCTTCCAGCCTGCCTGCCTGCCTGTCTGTCTTGCCTCTCCCTCTTCCATCCTGGCGCTACTCTCTCCTGGCTCCTCGACGGTGGCGGTGACGTTTCGCTCTGGTTTTGTAAGTTTGGGGGGGGGGGGTCCGCTTTGGCAAACTTTGGCGGCGGCCAGGGATGGGAAGCGGTGGTGCGGCGCAGTGGTTAGAGATCTGGACTAGGACCAGGGTTCGAATCCTCACCGCTCAGGAGCCGCAGGAAAGCTTGCTGGGCGGGTGAGCTCGTGCAACGGGGTGTGTGTGTGTGGGGGTGGGATCGAGCAGTCGTCGCCCCTCTCAGCCCCGCCTACCCACCACCTTCTTCTTTGGCGATCACTCTTAGCCGGGTAAGATTGTCTTCCGTGAACGCGGTCTCAATAGTGAGTCCGTAAATGACTGTGGAGGCCAATTCTGGAGCCACACGTCCTTCCATAGTGGGGACGATGGGGGTTTGCCAAACGTGCCTTCCTCTTTGCACGTTAAGAGGAAGAGTAAAGGTGGATTGGAGACAAAGGTGGGGGGGGTTGGGGTAGGGAGGGAAAGGATGATCTTCCTCGGCTGTTTGGGCCAATTAAGTTTCTTCCAGCTGAAATTCAAAGTGAGACGATTTCTGGCTGTGTGGGTGTAGGAATCCCCAGGACACCACGGGTAGATGTTCCATTGATGGCATCAGAGCGAGCACTGTGAGAAACTAGCCAAGATAGTGTGCATGTGAGGCTTGCAAGAACTTGTCAAAAGGGAGGGGTGAAGTTTCCCTGATAAGAACAATGTTGTGCAAGCATGAAGGGCTCCGGATTTCAGAAAAATAAGTACGGAAACAACAGCAGTTCGAAATAAAAGGGCACCTATCAAACCCTGTCCTAACTGATGCTCCTAATGGCCGGGCATTTGTGTGGGATTGGTTGGTTCAGACAAGGCGGACAGATTTTTATTTTTGTTCAATTGAGACGCTCCATAGGCTCGGTGCCTAATTTCCAAAATGAGAAAACCTGGGGCTTTTTTTTAGCTGACAGGCTCTCGCCAGAGGCATGCTAGAGCTACTTGTAAAAGGAACTCTACACATGCGCAAAGGTGCTCTAGCCATATGCTTCAGGTCAAGTCCTGACAACTGATAAGATGTTCTGAGGTGGAATAATGGTGGGTGTCTCTCTAATGAAGTCTTGGCTCAGGTTCC